ACTGCAGTCTAGCCTGAACTGCATAGTGAGATCCTGTCTCAAAAAGACTACAAAACAGAAACAAAAATACCTTTGTTACAGGGTGGGTGTGGTGGCACATAGCTGTAATCCCAGCACTCTGGAAGCTGAAGCAGAATGACTGCTGTGAGTTTGAGACCAGCCTGGACTACACAGTGAGCTCAAAGCCAGCCTGAATTACAGCACTGTCTCAGTCTCCTTGTCTTAAAAATATATAGAGAGAGGATGGAAGCCACGAACACAGTTTTTGATGCCAAGGGGAAAAAATTTCTCAAGAAAGAGAGTAAGAGATAATAAATGTGACAAAGTCAATCACAGGTTAACAGGAACTAAAGTGTTTAGTGTATTCAGCAATAAACATGGAGGGACTTCAGTTTCAAGGAGTGGTAGAAGCAGAATCTAGATTGGAATACATTTAAGCACAAAGAGGAGGTGAATTAGAAAAAGAAAGTGTTACAGAATTCTTGCTTCCTGCTTATATTGTGGTCAGCAGATCCTGGAATGGATTGAACAAACTCCTCTATACACACACAAACATGTCATTCTCAAACCTAAATAAAGGTGTCTCATGTTGACTCATCAATTAGATTGCAAGATTGTCTCTGTATGTGAGAGAGAGAGAGAGAGAGAGAGAGAGAGAGAGAGAGAGAGAGAGAAAGAGAAGAGAGATTGAAATCAGGACCTTTGCACTGCACTACATCAACCACCACCCCCCCTCTTTGGGAAAGAGTCTCACTAAATCCCTAAATTCCCCAAACTGGGCTCAAATCCTCCCATCTCAGCCTCCTGGAGTGCTGGGATAATAGGCATGGATTGCCACTTCTACTATAGATTGAAAGAGTTTACTTTTTTTAACTTTTTATCCTTACCGGGACGAACTCACCACCGACCGCCTGCTTGCAAGGCAGGTGCTTATGCCGCTGAGCTAAATCCCCAGCCCCAACTGAAAGAGTTTAAAGAAAAGAGACCAGAGATTGGGGATTTAGCTCAGTGGTATAGCACCTGACTGGCAAATGTGAGGTCCTGAGTTCAGTTCCTGATACCTGCCCCCTCCCCACCTCCCGCCTTCCTTCCCTGCCAAAAAGAAGAAACCATGTTACTACCTCTCTGTTCCCTGCTAAGTTAGATGGCCCAGGGCTCACTACAGACACTCAGCAAATGTTTGTTACATTAGTGTTGTGATTTAAAAAAAAAAGCATACCAGGTGTTAGCCACCTGTAATCCCAGCACTTAAGAAGCAGAGGCAGAGGGCCAGCTTGGGCTATACAGTGAACTCAAGGCCAGCCTGAACTATATGGTGAGACTCCGTCTCAAAAAACAAAACAAAAAAACATAAACATTACTTTCTTCAACTTCCTACTAGTCCCCCCATTCCAAATATTTCTTTCATTTTAAGCACACGTATCCCATCATTCTTAGCACTTCTGTGTGTGGGGGGGGGGGGTACTGGGAATCAGGACCTTGTGCTTACCAGGCAGTGCTATGCCACTGAGCTATGGCACCAGCCCCATGCAGGCACTTTCTGAAGCAATTTAGGAAGTCCTCTTTGGTGGTTTTAGTTCTGGTATTGTGAAGTTTCAATATCTTTACTTTTCATGTCAATTTTGACTTTGAGGCCAGAGCCAGAGGTCACATATGCCAGATCCAGTGAATAAGGTAGATCAGGACACACCATAATGTGTTTTTTTTCTTTTTTCTTTCTTTTTTTTTTTTTTTTTTTTATTGGTACCAGAGATCAAACTCACGACCATGTGCTTGCAAGGCAGGTGCTTATGCCCCTGAGCTAAATCCCCAGCCCCTAATAAGCCTGCCTTTCCATTGGATGGCACTCTGAAGTATCCTTCACTGTATTCTTTACCATAGCTTGTGAAGACAGTCATAAAACAGCACTTCCACATCTGCTTCACAAAGTAGCAAGTATGATGGAATAAGTGTATTCAAAGTGAGGGGCAGTATTTTGAGAAGAATTAATAGCAATGTGTCTTTTACTGTGACAATTGCATGTGTGTGTGTGACACTGGGGATTGAACTCACGGCCTTGTGCATACTAGGCAAGCACTCTATTGCCATGCTACATCCAAGGCCACTAATTTTTTCCTGATAATTTTTTTAAAAAATTAAACATTCACTACATTTTAAATATACCTTATATAATGGTAAAATATTTTATCAAATATCTTTAAAATACTATCGGGGTTTAGGACAAAAGCCTATAATCCCAGCACTCAGGAGGCTGAGTTAGGAGGATCCCTGAATATTCAAGGCTAGTTTGGATTACATAGTGAGTTCAAAGCCAGCTTTAAGTACATAGTGAGAACTTGTCTCAAAAAAACAAAAGAATAAATAAACAGAATAAAAATGTAACAATCTTTAAAGTACTAACCATGATACTAGGTAATGAAAATATGCACAGAAAAGTATTCATTTAATTTAACAAATGTGTATGTCTGCTGTATGCTTGGTCCTTTGGCATAAACTATAATTCACATTTCAGTGGAAGAAAAGTAAGATATATAAGAAAAATAATTAAAATTCCACAAATATGAAATAAAAATTTTTTGTTAATATTATTGTGTACAGAATGAAATCTGTTAAGGTATTTATACATGTATGTCGATGTTAAGTTAAAGAAATTAACAGTAACAAATAAGGAGTAAACAAAGAAAAACATTTTTTTATTTCTATAGCTTGAATGCTATCTAATGAGATAATTAAGAACAAAAAATACAAGACTGGTTATTTCCCTGATCTCCCAGTTACTTATTTAAGATTACTGGTGTTTCATTTATTTCTGATCTAGGTCTATTGTTACTTATACCCGAGAGGGGAAAAAAAAAATCCTTCTTTATATAAAGAACAGAACGGCTTTAAGATAGTTATAAAGAATCAATTGCATGAACTCCCTTCTCTCATTTAAAGTTTTGTAAAATATATAAAAAAAAGACTACTGAGGAAATATCTAATGTTTTACATCGTAAAGAAAACAAAATTCAAGGCCGTGCCTCATTTTAAATAATTTTGTACACTTTACCACAGTCCGGCAGTGTGATTTTTGTCATTATTAAAATTGTGAAATATTTTGAATGAGCTACTAATTGTTTAATGAGCTACTTATTAGTCCCTATTATATGTTAATACTGCCATGTTAATCTTTATTATATGTTATTTAATCCTTATTTTTGTTAAATATATTTATAGTTGCAGGACGACGCATTAAAGTCATCCTTAATCCTCTTGTCTTTACTGAAATATACGTTTTTATTTGCTAAAGTGATTTGTTTTATTTGCTAAAGAGGATTTGTTTGCTATAAATACCCAAGAAATAAAGTGTTTTGAGCGTCGGGTTTTTTTTTTTTTTTTTTTTTTCTGGGATGGACCACTGCAGCAAATCTGAGCTAGGAAAACAGAGCTGTGCATGGAAGTCTGGGAATCCGCAGGCCGCCATTGTTTCTCCGCAACCTGCAGCAGAAGCTGTCTTCTCAAATCCCTCCCCCAACGCGCTGCTCTGCAGCTCAGCGGGAGCCGCTGGGCTCTGCAGGCCATTTGATTTGTAAGTGGTGCAGAAGACACTGAAAATCTGTTGTTAAAAACCAAAAGAAAAATTATCTATAAAAATCCAAATTTTCCACTTTGGTGGTCAGACGAACCTTTTTACCTCTGAAATTTTATCTGCAACATTAAGTGGTTCACTTATTCTGCATAGCCCATCCTTGCTGATAATGGAGCCTTTCCAAATAGCAAAAGAATGTTACCGCAATCCATTTCCTACCGGCTAAAGCAAAGGCTTTTTGTCCCAAGGGGCAATTGAGCAACCACCAGAGTCTCCAGTAGAATAGCAAGGGTGTGAGGCAGCTACAGTTCCCACAGTTAGAAGAAGCCGGGAGACCATTTACCAGATTCATTGAGAACTGCATAAAAATGAGATGCAGCTGAGCTGACATGGCACAGTCGTCTGTGCACGGAGGCAACATTATAAAATGGTTTTCTTTTTCCATTATGTAACTGTCTTCTTTTTGACTTGGTGTTCCGAGATTTTTTTTTCCCTTGGCTTGATATTTTCCAGAAAAGAGAACAATGCAAAACTAAAACTGTGCATATAGATGGTACTCTAGCTTTTTTTTTTAAACTCAGTTTTTTCTTTTTGCATTTTTCCCATTTTGTATCAGAAAGATGATTCATTTCTATGAACGATACACCCAAACAAAATATATTACTGAGATTTCTGGTAAAGGGATCTCTCTTTTTTTAAAAGGGATGCCTCTTAAACAATTTAACCCCATATACGTAAAACTGTATTCAATACAGCTATTATTTCCATCTTCCACTTTTGTTAGCAATGTGTTGTGTGTCTGTGTGTTACGCGGGCGCAAAAACTGGCCTGAAACATTATTCAAACTTAAGAAATCATTTTGGATGACTATTATGGGAAAAAAAAATTTTTTTTCTAGTAATGGGGATCAAACCCAGGCACTTTGCACTGAGCTATATTCCCAGTCCAGCCCTATTTAATTCAATTTTGAGACACCAGTCTCGCTAAATCGCCTAAACTGGGCTCGAATTTGCGATCTTCATGCCTCAGGTTAAATCTTAAATTAAAAAATTTACCCAAGCAATTTTGAGCATCATCCCATCTTCTTCCTGCCTCATTTTAAAAGCAATTAGAAATGTCTAATCTCAACAGAATGTAGTCGAATTTAGTACAACTCTGAGGGAGAAGCTAGGCGTAGTTTTTCACAAATGTTTAATCTCAACACATAGTGCGATTAGGTGCAAGAAAAAGTCTTAGGTAGGTAATTTTATATGGTCGTTTGAGGTTTAAACAGTATAAAACCATCTATCCTCAGCCTTACTTCTTCCCTTTTGGCCCCTCCCCAACCACACCCCATAATGGATGCTCCACTGCCTGCCTTTGCACGGTCTCTTTGTCTAAAGGATGCAAACAGTCTATGGATGTTAGGGAAAAGGGGGCGGGGAGAGATTACCTCATCCCATGTCGCTTGCACCAATCACCACGCTCCAAAGCTGACTTCTCTGGGCAGATTGAGGGGTCTGGACCAACAGGAAAAGGCCCTGACCCATCCCCATGGTGACCGAGCTGTATATAGGAGGCCGCATCCGCCCATGTGCCGCAGGTTCTCTTACATCGACCGCCTAAGAGTCGCGCTGTAAGAAGCAGCAACCTCTCCTCTCGTCTCTATCCGCTTGGCATCCGCGAAGCAACAACCATGGTAAGACTCTTCTCTCCGGCTCTTTGTGAACAGTGGGTGAAATCGGTCCCCAAGGTCTACTTGGAAAACCTTAAACATTTCTTTTGTAGCCTCTTTGGGTAAAGGCAGTCTATGCTTTGTGAAGTTTAGCTTTGTCTGCCTGAACCCCTTGGCCCCGCCGCCGCAGTGCGGGGAGCAAAAACCCAGCAGAAAACGGGCCGAGCACGGAGGAGAATCAGGAAGAACAAAGGCGGCGCGAGGGAATTTCTGTTACCCGAGAGCCCTTCGGGAGTACAAGCTCCCCGTCTGTCGTGACAAAAGGGTCTGGGCCGGGAAAGGCGACTGCGGCGGCCCCTGCGCGGCCTCGCTGTACCCGCTGCCCGGAGAGGCCCCTTCCTTACGCGCGGTTCCGGGGCGCAGAGAGGAGGAGTCGTCCGCAAGGGCCGGGAGCCGAGTGTTAGCTGGGGCCCGTGGCGAGGGAGCCTTGGGTGTGTGCGGAATGAGCCCTCACGGTGTCGCTGGCCTTTTAGAAAGATACTCGTATATTAAACGGGAAAATGATTAGTTTCTGTTGCAGCCCTTGGCAGCCGGTGCCGGGGAGGCGCAGGGGCGGTGTTGTTTGTTTCTGGCTCTCAGGCTTTGGGCGGGGCTCGCCCTGGCTAAACCTCCTCTGTCAGACTTTTAATGAAAGCCTTTTATCATTGCGAAATTGTAGCTTCAAAAGATTTTTTATTCACTGTTAAAACTTAGATGACATGTATTGTCTCCAGAAGCAAAAGTGTAAGTCCCTTGACAATGGAAAAGCGTCCCCCCAGGCACGGAGTGGGGGTGCTGAGGCTGTGCATTGCGAGGTTAGAGAAGCCTTTGTGAGCCTGGGGTCCCTATGGTTAGAACGCAGGGAAACGCCCTCACCATATGTCATTGAATAGACAATGAACGTTGTGTCCCTACAGATCACGGAAATATTATAAGATAAAAAGAACAGGAATGTCCTGTGGTGGGCAGACAATCTCAGAAAGAATACTGTTTCATTCTTTTACATAAAAATGTTATCCTTTCACTGGACTTTTATTCTTTCATTTGGTAGCTTCTCCTGTGATATTTGTTCCGAACTTAGGAACTGTTGTTATAAAGGTTCTAATAATTTTTCAGCTTTTTTACAGTGGAGAAGATTCTGTAAAAAGATTTTTTTAGGTAATAAAACTGCTGCAGACAAAGAATTATACAGTGCGTCCAACTGTCTTTTGTTCTAGTGCATCTTCATTAATTCATTTCAATCCAGGCACATGGGCTAGGGTCGCAGGAGGAACATTGCAAAGCAGCACAATGAGATCATGGAGGCAGTGGCTGGAACTAGAGCTTGCTGTGTTAAATAATGCAGCAGAAGTGCCAGCCAGCACCAGGCACGGGAAATACAGCAGTGCAGCAGGCAGCCCTTGTCTGACTTCTAACCCCCATCGCATTGATGGATTTTGCAGAGACTGCAGAAGGGTGTGGCTTTGAGCCTCAGCTGCAATACAGATGTCCAGATTAAAATGCCAAGTCCTGTTAAGAGGAAACCTTCATCTTTAAAAGGGAAGGAAGTAATGAAATTAATTCCAATTAGTGACTGTATGTAATTTAAATTTTAAAATTCGTACTTCTAATATTTTTTAATATAAAAGAATTTTCTATTCAAGTATGGCTGTGGAAACAATGGGCTTGCACTGTGTTAAACAGTGCAAGATGACATTGTTATTCAGGTCACACCCACTTGCAACATTTGTAAGAGGTCCATTTCATTAATAATTTCTGTCATATTAAGGGATAGGATCCCAAATAAATTTGAATGGCATATAAATTCAAAATGCTATTAATTTTATAACTTTTTTCTTTTACCCTTTTCACAGCGTGAGTGCATCTCCATCCACGTTGGCCAGGCTGGTGTCCAGATTGGCAACGCCTGCTGGGAGCTCTACTGCCTGGAACATGGCATCCAGCCCGATGGCCAGATGCCAAGTGACAAGACCATTGGGGGAGGAGATGACTCCTTCAACACCTTCTTCAGTGAGACCGGTGCTGGCAAACATGTGCCCAGGGCAGTGTTTGTAGACCTGGAACCCACAGTCATTGGTGAGAGGACCTCGGACACCCATGGGATTCGCCAGGGTTCAGGGGCTTGAGGCTATGGCCTGAGGGTTCTGTGGAGGCCCCAGGCTTAAGCATGTACCTGCAGGTTTTTAGTAATGGGCAGTGGGTTTCTTCTCTTCCAGATGAAGTGCGTACTGGTACCTACCGCCAGCTGTTCCACCCTGAGCAGCTCATCACAGGCAAGGAAGATGCTGCCAATAACTATGCCCGTGGGCACTACACCATTGGCAAGGAGATCATTGATCTCGTCTTGGATCGAATTCGGAAACTGGTATGTTATTCTTGAGAACAACATAACTCAATGAGCATAAAGACATTTGGCCATGAGGTTACACAAGCCTATTATCCCAGCTACTAGGGTGGCTGAGGCAGGAGGTATACAAGTTCAAGGGAGCCTAAGTAAGATACAGGTAAGATAGTTCCCTCCCAAGCTCCCCCACCTGCTACCCCATCTCTAAAGAAAGAAAAAAATCATTTGAATAAAGCTGTTTTTTTTCCAAACAGAATAAAAATATAATTAAAAGTGGTATGGGTTACTCCTTTAGGTTTTTTTTTTTTTTTTTAAATCGGTACCAGGGATCAAACTCACGACTGCCTGCTTGCAAGGCAGGTGCTTATGCTGCTGAGCTAAATCCCCAGCCCCTCCTTTAGATTTTTTGTTTTACTTAAAACATGAACTGTGGGAAATAGGGATATAGCTCGGTGACAAAACTTGCCCAGCATGCACAAACAAGGCTCTGGTTTCAGTTCCCACCAACACCCAAACAAGAACAAAAGCATGACCTATTTGGTATCACTTTGTAAATACTGAGGATTTTAAAAAATTAAATACTGTGTAATTGCAAGGTTTTTCCATTCTTTACTTAGGTACATATGGTACTAGGGATTGAACTTAAGGTTTCCCATGCATGCCAAGCAAGTACTCTATCACTATGCTACATCCACAGTCCCTTAAATTTAAAAAAGCATTTGTGCCAGGTGTGGTAGTGCACACCTATACAATCCCAACACTTGGGAGGCTAAGGTTTGCAAACTCAAGACGAGCCTGGGCTACAAAGTGAGTGCATGGCCAGCCTAAACTGTATATAGCAAGACCCCATCTCAAAAAGACCAAAAAAAAAAAAGGGCAGTCAGCCAGGTATGGGGGTATACTTGGAAGGCTGAGGCAGGGAGGATTGCTATGAGTTTTGAGGCTAGCCTGGGTTACATAGTATGTTCAAGGCCAGTATGAACTACATGGTAAGACCTTGTCTCAAAAAACGTAAATAAAAAGTATTTGTCAAAATAACATTTAAATCCTTGGGGATACATGAAGAGTAAAAGTATTCTACGGTTATATCCCCAAAAAACAAATTAATGTTTCCTCTATTCCTCTCTTTTCTAACAGGCTGACCAGTGCACAGGTCTGCAGGGCTTCCTGGTTTTCCACAGCTTTGGTGGGGGCACTGGCTCTGGGTTCACCTCCCTGCTGATGGAGCGCCTCTCCGTTGACTACGGCAAGAAGTCCAAGCTCGAGTTCTCCATTTACCCAGCCCCCCAGGTCTCCACAGCTGTTGTAGAGCCCTACAACTCCATCCTCACCACCCACACCACCCTGGAGCACTCTGATTGTGCCTTCATGGTAGACAACGAGGCCATCTATGACATCTGTCGTAGAAACCTTGATATTGAGCGCCCCACCTACACTAACCTGAATAGGCTGATAGGTCAAATTGTGTCTTCCATCACTGCTTCCCTCAGATTTGATGGAGCCCTGAATGTTGATCTGACAGAATTCCAGACCAACCTGGTACCCTACCCCCGCATCCACTTCCCTCTGGCCACGTATGCCCCTGTCATCTCTGCTGAGAAAGCCTACCATGAACAGCTCTCTGTAGCAGAGATCACCAATGCCTGCTTTGAGCCAGCCAACCAGATGGTGAAATGTGACCCTCGCCATGGTAAATACATGGCTTGTTGCCTGTTGTACCGTGGTGATGTGGTCCCCAAAGATGTTAATGCTGCCATTGCCACCATCAAGACCAAGCGTACCATCCAGTTTGTGGACTGGTGCCCCACTGGCTTCAAAGTTGGCATTAATTACCAGCCTCCTACTGTGGTTCCTGGTGGAGACCTGGCCAAGGTGCAGAGGGCTGTGTGCATGCTGAGCAACACCACAGCCATCGCTGAGGCCTGGGCTCGCCTGGACCATAAGTTTGATCTGATGTATGCCAAGCGTGCCTTTGTTCACTGGTACGTGGGTGAGGGGATGGAGGAGGGGGAGTTTTCTGAGGCCCGGGAGGACATGGCTGCCCTTGAGAAGGATTATGAGGAGGTTGGTGTGGATTCTGTTGAAGGAGAGGGCGAGGAAGAAGGCGAGGAATACTAAAAATGTCACAAAGGTGCTGCTTTTACAGGGAAGCTTATTCTGTTCTAAACATTGAAAAATTGTGGTCTGATCAGTTAATTCATATTTAGCAGTGTATGCTCTCATACAATTACTGACCTATGCTTTAAAACATAAATGCTTTGTCACAGACCCAAATTGTCCATTTCTTTGATGGGTTTTCAGTAAAGTATTCCCTGTCTTAAATTAACTGTCTTGTATTTATTCTTTTTCTCTTTGCTTTTTTTTTTTTTTTTTTTCTTTTAACTAGGAAACTGAATCCATGGCCTTAATACTGGGTGGAATTGTCAGCCACTTTTTAATTTATTGTGAGACACAGTCTCTAATTTGCTTAAACTGGGCTCAAATTTGCTGACTTATTTCAGCTTCCAAAAATGCCGGGATTATAGGCATGTACCAC